TAAACATGATAAATAAGTAAATTGCAGAGGAGGCCGCATAGCAAAATGGAGTCTGCAACCAGGTGGATGGAGTTCGAATCTCAGCTTTGCCACTTAATAGCTGCGTTACGTGAGCAAATTACTGCGCCTCACTTTCCTCCTCAGTAAAATGAGGGCCATAGTAGTGACTCCTTTAGAGTGGGCGTGAGGATTAAGTGAGGACAGTACCCGGTATTCAATATGCCCTATATAGGCGTTCAGTGAATCACACATAGGATGCCAGCCGGTGAGGTGCCCACCTCGCACCCAACAGCATGCTGTGTTCGGGGTTACAACAGTGGAAAATAAAGGGCTCACTTTTGTGACATGTTTGTGAAACTGAGGTGCAGAAATCAATTCAGCAGATCACGACCAGCGTTTTCTACAAAACACAATGGGAAAAAAAATCACTGCATTGTGTATGGAAAGTTAAGGATTGTTTTGGGAAACTCCAACTCTGCGTCTGCGTCCTGGGAGTGGCAGGTTGTTTTCCCCAAAATTGGCTACAGAAATAGGTGCAACCTTGCCACTCCCCATCCTTGGGCAGACTGTCATTCCCCTCCTCTTGAACTTGAGCAGGACTTTGTGCCACAAATAGGATGTGGCAGAAAGGATGCTGTGTGACTTCCAGGCCTAAGTCAGAAACTAGGATGCATCTTTTGCAGGTGCTAGCTCGCTGTCTCCCTCTCTCTCAGTTTCAGGATGCCCTCTCTTGGAGCCCAGCTGCCACGTTGTGAGGAAGCCCAGCCATGTGAAGAGGCTCCCAGATAAGGGCCCAGCGGAAGCCAGCATCAACCACCAGACAATAAGTGAGTGAGCACTGAGATGATTCCAGCCGCCAGCCTTTGAGCCAGCCCAGCTGCCACCAAGAGGAGCAGAGACGAGCTGTCCCCAGCAAGATCTGCTCAAACTGCACGTTTGTGAGCAACATCAATGCCATTGTTGAAAGCCAGTAAATTTGGGGGAAATTTGTTACGCAGCTGTAACATCTGGATTGCTGGATCACATGTGAAATTTGTATCTTACTGTAAGTCACACAAAAAACAGTTGAAAGCCACTGCTTTGGTGGCAAGACCTCACAATAATCGAGGAAACAAATGAACAGGATCATTTTAGACAGGAACACCTGTTACGAAGGTGGGAAATCAGGGTCATAGGATCGAGCCACTAGAGTTGGTGTCAGAGGGTGGGGTGGGAAGTGACGTTAGGTCAAGTGGTCAGGGACGGCCTCCCTGAGCAGGGGACATATGAACTGGGACCTGAGTGATGAAAGGATGTTGGGAAACAAAGCTCCAGGAGGAAGGCAGAGCTGGTGCAAAGGTCCCTGAGGTGAGGGAGTTTAGCTTAAGGAATAGAGAGGAGATTGGCATAGCTGGAGAAGAGTGAGCGAGAGGGTTGCCAAGGGCTGAAGCTTGGTTCTGGTGGAACGGGAGGCACTGGAAGGCGTTAAGGAGGAGAGAGCTGGGGAGTGGACGGACTCCAGCTCATCCAGAATTGAGAGAACTTGCCGGCAAACCAGATGTACAGAATGAGGAAGAGGAAGAGGATGCTTCCTGGGTGTTTGGCCCAAATCCCCGGATGGGTGGTGGTGCTGGTGGCTGAGAATGGGAGGGGCAGGCTTGGAGGTGAGGGGCTGCAGGAAATGGAATTTGGGGGCAGTTCCCAGTGCCTGAGATGTGGCCACATGCAGCTGTCCATGTGGTGGTTGCTCGGCTATAGGAGTCCACAGAGACATTTGGGCTGGGGATAAAAATCCAGGAGTTGCCGGGGTGCAGGCAGAATCAGATGACATCACCTTGGGGGACAGTATGGTGAGGAGGAAGTCCAGGGACCATGCTCTGGCACCCTCCAAGTGTAGAAGTCATAGAAACGAGCAGAAGCCAGCAAGACTGAGAAGGCACAGCCAGTGGGGGGAGACAAGCAGCTACAATGGAGCCGTCGGAAAATGTGATTTCGGTGAGCATCAGGAATCGGACAAGTCCTCAACCCCAGGCCTGGGGCCCCTTCCTCCTCAGGGCTTGCTTCCAGGAGAGAGTTCTTCCCAAGACCCCGGAGCTGCTTGTGTTTTTCTATTTTTACAGTGATCATGTAGCTGGGGACACCCTTAAGACTCATATATTTAGTCTCTTCCAGGTCACAGATCCCTTTGAAATGTGACAAAAGCAATGAGAGAGGCTCTGCCTTGAAAAACATACCCAACATCCACACATTGTTGGGTTTTGTGCAGCTTTTGGCTCAGGCCCCCAGAACGCCACCCCCAGATTGTCAGGTGAAGAAGCTCCAGGCCTTTGTCTCATGGCGTGGCTAGTGGATGTAGAAGTGATGGCACCTTCATCGTTTCCTGCAGAAATATCGATGTCTGGGCGTGGGGACTGCTCCCCAGACTCAGTGCTCAAGGCGAGCCTCGCTCACCCTCCTGCTGGCTGAGGTGGCTCTGTCACCATCAGCAGAGTGACCTTTGGTGCCAGGGGCTCATCTTCTGTGCATGAAGGTGGTGGACTATATACCCGTGCAGAGTGAAATAAAGAGGAGATAAGACCGTGGGTTCTCTGTCTGGCTCTGCAGTACCTGTGACCTTGGCAAGTTCTTAACCTCTCTGAGCCGTGGGCTAATGATAGCTCTCTTATCAGCTGGGGTGGGACATTCGAGAGATAAGCTGCGAGATTGCACAACCGCAGCCTGCCAGATATAAACGCTTCTGTCAAAAAAGGCCATTCACCTCCCTTCCAAAAGACAAATCAATAACCACTTGCCAGCCATTAGGATGGCTATTATTTAAAAAAAAAAAAAAAAAAAAAACACCCAATACAGAAAATAACAAGCATTGGAGAGGAGGTGGAGACATGGGAACCCTTGTGTACTGTTGGTGGGCGTGTCCAGTGGTCCAGAGTCTATGGAAAACAATATGGCGGCTCCTCAAGAAATTAAGAAAAGAATTCCCAGAGGACCCAGCAGTCTCCCTCCTGGGTGTGTACCCCCAAAATTGAAAGCAGGGCCTTGGAGACACAATGGTACACCCAACATTATTTACAGTAAGCAAAAGTGGGAGCAATTGAAGTGTCCACTGATGGATGCTGGATAAACGAAATGGGGTCCATCCAGACAATGGAATATTATTCAGCTGTTAAAAGGAGGGACGTTCTGACACGGGCTACAACATGGAGGAGCCGTGAGGACATTAGGCCAAGTGAAAGAAGCCAGACACGGAAGACAAATACAGTGTGGTTCCATTTCTGTGAGGCTCCTAGGGGACTTAAATTCAGAGACAGAACGTAGGATGGTGGGGGCCGGGGCTGGGGGAGGGCTGTGCCAAGTTCCTGTTTAACAGGGCCAGAGTTTCAGTTTGGGAAGATGAAGGAATTCTGGAGAGGGATGGGGGCGAGGTTGCGCAACCATGTGAATGTGCTTAATGCCCCGGAACCGGACGCTTAGAAATGGCTAAGACGGCAAATGTTATGGGATCTGTATTTGACCACAATTAAAAACAAAAATCTCCATCCAAAAGGCAAAGTGAGAATCTGGGTGATGGGGGCCCATGGGGTCTTAAGCTTGAGCTGAACAAGACAACAAAGATGAGGAAAAAATGGTCCTGGCAATTGTGAGAAACAATTTTTTTTTCCCCCAAAAGCCCCTTCTTGGCTCACAAACCCCTTTGGGAAGCTGACAAGAGCATTGGACCTTCCGCTCAGAAACACACAACTTCGTGTGAAATTTCTGGGACTTCCAATAACCTCTAAAACCCACCCACATCTCCGGTGGAAAAAGCCAGAGGAAAAATGAGGAAGGGAGAAGTCGGGAGGGCGACCGTCCATCATCGATCTCCCTTGTGGGGAGTGGTGGGGGGGCCAAGGATGGTCTACTTCCTGTCCTGGTGCTGGTGACACAGGGATGTTTAGTTTGTGGAAAGCCGTGGAGCTGTACACTTTTGAACACAGGCTTGTACTCAAAATATATGTATATGATGCCCCAATAAAAAATAAAACAGCAAAACGAGATCGTTTAAGACCCAACCTATTAGAAAAAGGTTTGGCAGGAGATACTCCAGAGTGTTGACAATGGCAGGCATTTCTACCAAGTGGGACGACGGCACCCTCCGCTACACCACACGTTTCTGTATTGTTTGAATTTTACCTTTTACAATTAGCATCAATTGTTTTGTCACGAGGCAAAAAAATCAGTAAGGATTTTTCCTAGATGTTCAAGGTGGGTGTTTGTTAGAACTTTCTGTCACCATGACAATGTTCTCTAACTTTGAAGCCCAATACAGTAGCCACCAGCTATGTGTAGGGCAGAACCTAAGGGAGTTTATTGTGCTGGCCTGGTAATTTTTCCGTAGCTTTAAACATTGTTCAAATTAAGTCTGGTTTTGTGTGTGGTGTTTTTTTTTTTTTTTTTTTTTTTTGGTGAGGAAGATTGGCCCTGAGCTAATATCTGTTGCCCATCTTCCTCTTTTTTTTTTTTAAAGATTGGCACCTGAGCTAACAACTGTTGCCAATCTTCTTTTTTTTTTTTCTGCTTTATCTTCCCAAACCCCCTGTACATAGTTGTATATCTTAGTTGCAGGTCCTTCTAGTTGTGGGATGTGGGACGCCGCCTCAATGTGGCCTGACGAGCAGCGCCATGTCCGCGCCTAGGATCCGAACCCTGGGCTGCTGCAGCGGAGCACGTGAACCACTTGGCCACGGAGCCAGCCCTCCTCTTTCTTTTTTTCTTCCCAAAGCCCCAGTACAGTACAAAGTTGTGTATCCTGGTTATAGGTCCTTCTAGGTTTTCTCTGCCGGACGCCACCACAGCATGGCTTGATGAGCGGTGCGTAAGTCCATACCCAGGCTCCAAACTGGTGAACTCCGAGCTGCTGAAGTAGAGCACGCGAACTTAACCACTCCGCCACAGGACCAGGCCCAAATTAAGTCCATTTTGAAAAAGAGATCCATTTCAAAGCTGAAGGAGGTGTACAGTGAGACAAAGGCCAGATGCAGACGTGTCAGCTTATCATAAGGCAGCTTTATTAAATTCCTTTACTTTCTAAAAACGATTACAAAAAGGAATACTTCATTTAAGTGTAATACTGTCTTTGTGGACGTACCGTGGTCAGAAAGTGAGGTCAAGGGTCATGGATACATGTGAGAAGAGAACTGGGACGGGGCAGGTCCTCCCTGGATCCTCCCACGCCAAGCCCTGTGGGCCCGAGGGGGAAGGGAATGCAGGGATCCTTCTAGAAGCTTCTAGAAGCTTCCAAGAAACGCACCCACTGACTCCGGGGCTGGACACCCGGGCACACGACTCTTGTACCGCTTCTCAAAACTTCTCCCTTCCGTCAGACACCAGTGGTCACTCAGCCTGGGTCTGGTTTTCTCTCCAGTTACACACACACACACACCATCTAGGGTGTCTCCTTTGACCATCCAAGCTCTCTCTTCTTACAGCCAGCCTCCATCGAGCCGAGAAACCCACTTTTCCAGGACAGAAGCCAGCACTTCGCCTCACTGAGTGGACGCGGCTCTGGGGACGCGCTCCGTCCTGCTGGGGTCTGCCTGCCACCCTGGCGGCCCAGAGAGGGCAGAGGCCCCCTTCCCAGTGGCTCTTACTCCCCTGTCACAAGGCACTTGTCCAAGCTCAAGACCCACCCCTGGTTTCTTTTTGGTTCACAAAAGGAAGGAACAGGAAAGAAACTCCGCTCAGCTTCTGGGCACCCGACAGGCCGGGCGGGGGGCGGCGTGTGTCTGGCGAGCCCCGTTTCCAGCAGGCTGGGGTCCAGGCAACCCCAGGAAGCCTGGAGGTGGTTAAAGGACCCAGCTGGCCCTTGTTTGGTTTCCGGCAAAGCCCTGTCTCCTTAAGTTTGCGCTGGGCCCTCGGGAACGGCCAGCTTTTAATCACGCACACGTGGGGCCTGCGGCGCCCTCTGCTCTGCCAACAGCACAGGCCTCGGGGAGGACAGGGACGGCCGCCACCAGGCTTCTCAGCCCGGGGACTCGGCAGCTGCCCTGGATCCACGTCTGAAGGCTTTTCTAGGAACGGGAGCCCTGGCCGGGGCCTCGGGGGTGGGGGGCACGGTTTCTGGTTAATTTCTCCTTTAATTTCTCTGGTTAATTTCCGACAGGGGGGAAACGCTGGCCCCTCTCGGCTGCTGGGTCCTGAGCCCCCCACCCGAATGGGGGGACCCGGGTGGTGGCAGCAGGAGGGCAGAAATCGCTGAGCTCCCGCCCCGGCTGACCAGGGCAGAATGCGTTTTGTGAAGACACCACAAGAACAGCCCCCCGGGGCAGGCGGCTGCGGGGAGGGACAAGACGCGATTACAGACAATTAAATGTGGGAGCCGGGGCTGGGGGGGGGGGGGAGGCGGCCTGAAGCCGCTCTAGACACAACCTGCGCGCGGGAACATTCAGGATTAAGAGGAATAGAGGCGATTCCAGTGACTTTCAAATCTGGCAACAAGTGATAAGACTCTCCCCTCCCCCGATGATTCAGAACTCCCATATCCTTTCCCCCGTCCATAATTGTCAGTCGATGGTTCTCAGGGTTAAGCCCACGCCCCAGCATCAGCCCCTGGCGCCACTTCATGGAAGAAGGCAGCTTCCGCCGGCGCTGGGGCGGCTTTGAACTGGGTGCCGGGAAAAGCCCGCGGGACGATGGCGTGTTGTCGCTGTGGGGGCTGCCCCCCTGGGAAGCAGAAGAAAATCCCACTGGCCTTTGAGATGGGGCCTTGGTGGGTACCAGTGGGGGCTGGCCAGGGAGGGGACGAGAGATGGAGGAGGAGGAACGGACGGTTGGCGCTGGGGCTGGCTGGTCCCCGCGGAGAGGCCCCCTCACGGCTACTCTTCTGCAGAGGAAGAGGCAGGACTTTCATCGTCTGACATCGGGGCGAACTGAAACGAGAAGTCGAATTCCTCCTTTGGCATCCTTTCCCGGGCCTGCGAGGCGCCAGCTTTGTTGGCTGGCCCTGTGGCCGCCGGGAGTGAACAAGAGGCCTCGTCCCTTGGCCTCAAGAAGGCGATGCTGTGGAGGAGATGCACACAAAGGAATGCGGGAGAGGATTTTCCTGGGCGGGAAGGTCTGGAAGGGGATGAAAGTGGACAGCGGGTGGGCGGGGAGGGTGACGGCTGAGCTGAACGATGTCAAGGGGCCAGCCGAGGAGGCAGGGCATGCCAGGAAGAGAACACAGCAAGTGCAAAGGCCCAGAGGCGGGAGCAGAGTGAGCGAGGAGAGAGGAAGGAGAGTGGGTGGTTGTGCAGGACTTGGTTGTGCCAAGGATGACTTTGGCTTTTTCTCCAAACAGATGGGAGAGGGCAGTGAGGATGGGGGCCAGGGGACGAGGACAGAGGCAATGGCAGTGGGCCAGGTGGCGAGTGATGGAGGGTTGGGGTTCGTCCCTCAGGACCACAGATCAGACAGAAGGGCATCACCCAGCCCCATCACCCTCATCTTCCAGTTGAGGAAACTGAGGCCCAGAGCTGATCCCCTGAGCGCCACGGCTGAGGCCCAGGATCCTGACACCCCAGGAATGAAGCCGGAAAAACTCGGAGCCTCAGGAAGCAGGCAGGAGACTGGCGGCTCGTATCTCAGCGCCCTTCTCTCTCTGGACCTTGTGGGGAGCCTCTGTGGATGACACCCACCATGCCGCCCTCAAACCCAGCCCCAGACAGGCCTTGGGGAGGCCAGGGCAAGTGCAAGGTGGGGGTGAGGAGGAGGGGGCAGTGAGGCTTCTGCCCAAGGTCTGGAGTCAGACGGACCCCGCGGCCTCCACCCTTCCTGGATGTGCGACCTTGAACCAGGGAGGGAACCTGTCTAAGCTTCACCTGAGAAATGGAAATAACAGGACTTTATGCAACCGAATCAGGTTATTGTGGAGGGTTTAAGAAACCAGGTCTGGGGGCACTTAGTACAGGCCATCAGACTGGAAGGTACGGCCTCCCCCATCAGACTGGAAGGGATGGCCTCCTCCATCAGACTGGAGGGGACAGCATGCTCCATCAGACTACAGGGGATAGGCTCCTCCATCAGACAAGGGTATTGTTTTGGGGACCTATGAGGAGCGCCCTGTCTCCTCCATCAGACAGGATGTGCTTTTCCTCCATCAGGCACTTAGCACACAGCACCTATCAATATTGTCCCCATTATGCTTCCAGAAGAGTGGCCAACAGGCGTGATTTTAACGGCCCCGATCTCTGCGGTCGAATAGGAGACATGCTGGGTGAGACGCGGTTGGGTGGGATTTCCTTACGGGGAGACTTCTCGAGGCCTTTAATACACTGACACGCTTCGAGTAGAAGCCAGAGTCCTCACAGGGGCCCACGAGGCCCTGCACAATCTGTGGCATCACCTCCCTGCCCTCACTTCCTCCCACTGGGCTCCATGACGCTCCTCAAACACACCAGGCACACTCCTGCCTCAGGGCCTTTGCACTGGCTGTTCCTGCTGCCTGGACAGCCACACTCTTGCTCCCTCCCTTCCTCAGGTGTTGGCTCCACTGTCACCTCTCTGCCAAGGTCTAAAATGGCTGCCTGGACACTCGCCGTCCTTCTTACCCCATTTTATATTTCTTCCCAGCACGTACCATCACCTGCCTAGGATTCGCTGATTTGCTTAGGTCTCTCTGATTAGAATTCTGCTCTCTGAGGACAGAAACCTTTTTGTTTTGTTTGGTGCTGTGATGGCAGAGCCTAGAACAACGCCAAACACACAGCGGATGCTCCGTAAAGATTTCTCAAATGAGCAAATGGCGGTTAAGAACGTGCATTTAGGGGCCAGCCTGATAGCATAGTGGTTAAGTTTGCACACTCTGCTTTGGCAGCCTGGGGTTCACAGGTTCAGATCCCAGGTGTGGACCCAGCACCACTCATCACACCATGCTGTGGCCGTATCCCACATACAAAATAGAGGAAGATGGGCACAGATGTTAGCTCAGGGACAATCTTCCTCAACAACAACAAAAAAGAGTTTGCATTCGGAACCAGACAGATCCGGGTTTGAATACTGTTATGCCGACCATGACCGTGCAGCCTCATTTCCTCATGGGGCAGCACAAAGGGTCCACACGTGGAGGCTGGTACGCCGGTAAAGTCCTCGGCATGGGCGCCACATGCCATCAGCTCTTCATAACCTCTGGCCACCCCCAGACCCCCCGCCTTCCGCCCTGCCGGATGGAGACTCACCGAGCACTTGATGTTCATGCGGGAGTAGAGCATGGACGCGATTTCGCTGTGCCCCGCGTCCAGGGCCACCGTCAGAGCCGTGCTCCCGTCCTGGAAGGCATCCATTGCTATGACAATGCCCTGCACCCACTCCCGCCCTCCCGGGGGTGCACCAGGTGGGGACTCACGCGGTCGGTGAGTGCGATGTCGCAGCTGGGCACAGCCAGCAGCAGCCCAGTGATCTCCTTGTGGCCCTGCTCGCAGGCGCACATGAGCGCCGTGGAGCCGTCGTCATCCTGCACGTTGACGTCCGCCTCACAGGCCAGCAGAGCCTTGACCACGTCCACGCGCCCGTGGCTGACCGCCAGCATCAGGGCTGTCTGCCCCGCCTGGGCAGAGCAAGGGACAGGCTTATGGACCGTGCAGGCCCTGAAGCATGGCATCCCTGCTCCGGAACCTTCCATGGCTCCCAAGTCCTCTGATGCTAACACACCCCCACTGGCTGGCCTCCTTCTGTATCCCAATCCTGCCTACCACCGGGCCTTTGCACTTCCTGGTCCCTCCTCCTGCTGTCTCCTTCTCATCCCTCGGGTCTCAGCTTAAATGTCCCCTCCTCGGGGAGGTGCGCCCCACGCCCAATTAAAGCAGGTTCTCACTCACAGAGGTAAACAGGTAAAAATTTATGGAGCTAAGATGTGCATGTTTTTCTGTACGTCAGTTAAAGCTCCTAAAAATTAAATCCACGTTTATCGGTGAATGGATGGATAAACAAATCCGGTATACGTACAGCACAGGAGATTATTCAGCCTTAAAAAGAAATGCAGCACGGATGAACTTTGCAAACACGATGCTCGGTGACGGAAGCCAGACACAGAAACCCACATATACCATTCCGTTTATACAAAATGTCCAGAATAGGCAAACCCGTGCAGACAGAAAGCAGCCTGGTGGCTGCCAGGCACCGGGTGGCGGTGGGGGGAGAGAATGGGGAGTGACCGCTAACGGGCGCAGGGTTTCCTTTTGGGATGATGGGAATGTTCTGGAAGTAGGTAAAAGTGGTGGTTGCATGAGATTGCGAATGTCCTAAACGCCACTGAACTGTATGCTTTAAAAGGGTTAATCTCATGTGAATTTCACCTCAATTAAAAAAATAGAAACCACTAAAAATTTTTTTTTTTTTGGTGAGGAAGACTGTCGCTGAGCTAGCATCTGTGCCCATCTTCCTCTATTTTATGTGTGATGCTGCCACAGCATGGCTTGATGAGCAGTGTGTAGGTCCACACCTGGGATCCGAACCCACGAACCCTGGGCCTCCGAAGCGGAGAGCAAACTTAACCACTATGCCACCGGGCAGGCCCGCCAATTTTTGTTAAAGAAAAATGAAATGAACAAAAAAGTGAGCAGGGTCTGCTCCTGTGACGCCACCACGGCGCCCTGCTTCTCTCTTTCACTGGTTGAGGCTGTTGGAAATCCCACCCCCCTTGCTGTCCCCATGGAGTCCCGGCTGCCCCTATGGCCAGACAGCCGTCCACACTCTGGTCGCCTCCACAGTCCCCCAGCTCCGCTCCTCACTGCAGGCGATGGGAGATTCCCAACCCGGGAGTGGCTGCCACTGCCCTCTCACTGCCCTGCTGGCGTCCCACAGCCCCCCGTCCAAACCCGCTCCGACCCTCCGTGCCGCCGGGGATGCTGGCAGCTGCCAGAGCTTCGGGAGGGTGGGGACGGTGCCTGCTTGTCCGCCTCGGAGCCCCAGCGTCCAGCTGCTGCTTGGTGAGTCACCAAGAGGATGTGGGACAAGATTAAGAAAGGCGGAGGCCTGTGTCATCCCACACCCCTGGCCTCTGGCCACCAGAAGGTCCCGCCTCAGAGGCAGCCTGGCAGGTGGGTCATCAAGAACGGGGCCTGGAGGGGCCGGCCTGGTGGCGCAGTGGTTAAGTGCACACGTTCCACTTTGGTGGTCCAGGGTTTGCCGGTTTGGATCCCAGGTGTGGACATGGCACTGCTTGGCACGCCATGCTGTGGTGGGCTTCCCACGTATAAAGTAAAGGAAGATGGACATGGATGTTAGCTCAGGGCCAGTCTTCCTCAGCAAAAAAAAAAGAGGAGGAATGGCAGCAGATGTTAGCTCAGGGCCAATCTTCCTCAAAAAAAAAAAAAAAAAAAAAAGGACGGGGCCTGGAGCCACTCCCTGGGTTCATGTCCCCGTTTCTCTACTGTGACATTGGGGCAGTGACTCTGCTTCTCTGAGCCTCAGTTTCCCCATCCGGGGAGGGGGGACTCTCCCCCGGGCCTGGAACGAGGTCTGGTTTGGGGCATGGCGCACGAGGGGGAGGGCCCGCACCTGGCTGGCCTTGGCGTTGACGTTGCCGAGCCGGAAGAGCTGCAGGACCGTCTCGATGTCATCCTGGGTCTTCAGGGTGGCCAGCGCGGTGAGCATGACGGGGCTGTAGCCGGCTCGGTTCTGCTTGTCCACCTGGCAGACACCTGGGGGGCCGGGAGCACATGAGCCCTCACCCCACTGCTGGCTGGGCCACCTCAGGCTGCCGGAGGGCCCCGAGGACCAGGCCACATCCTGCCATCAGACTGGAAGCTTGTCCCACCCTCAAAAGGAGTGCTGGGGCTCATGTCTCCTCCATCAGTCTTGCTGCGACCTAATTTCTCCCTTTTCAACCTCTTCTGTCCCAGGGATCTCCATGTCCATTGTGCCACCCTGTTAGACAAGGGGCTCCTAAAAGTGGACGCTGTGCCTCCTCCATCAGACTGGGGCCCCCGACACTGGCACCCACATTTAGGGCTGAGAGCGGGAGCTGTCTCCCCTGTTAACCTGCAAAAGCCAATCACCCTTCAGATCGGCCTGTGTCTCCTCCATCAGATTGTGGGCTCTGCCTCCCCCATCAGACTGGGAGGCTGTCTTCCCCATCAGACTGAGGAGGGGCAAGTCTGCCTGCCCAGTTGAGGACCACGTCTTCTCTCCACATCCCAGACTGGAGGCACACCCCTCTCTCAGACTAGAGCTCCAGAGGTGCGGCCTTCTTTATACACGGTGTATGCGAGGGTGGCGGAAGGTCCCTGTGTTTTCTAGAATACCATGCCTACCGTTTTCAGCACACTGCGGCCACAGATAGGGCGCTATCTCCCTCCCCACATAGGAGGGCGGCATCTCCCCCATCAGACTGGGAGATCAGCGTCTCCCCCATCAGACTGGGAGGGCAGCGTCTCCCCCATCAGATTGGGAGATCAGCGTCACCCCCATCAGAACTGGGAGGGCAGCATCTCCCCCATTGGACTGGGAGGGCAGGGTCTCCCCCATCAGGCTGGGAGATCAGCGCCGCCCCCATGGACCACAAGCCTGGGGCCGGCGCTCACCGCTGTCGAGCAGCTGGCGCACCACGGGGAAGTTGGCGTGCGACACGGAGTAGTGCAGCGCGGTGTTGCCGTTGCTGTCGGCGATGTTGACCACGTAGTCCAGCAGCCGCGCCGACATGGCCCGGAAGGTGACCAGGTGGCGCCGCACGAGCTCGGGGTGCGCGTCGCTGCGGCAGGCCAGGCGCAGCCACTCCTGCAGCACGGTGGTGTAGGCCACCTTCTGCGCGCGGGCGGCGGGGACAGGGCGTGAGGGCGGCGACAGAGCCCGGGCGGGGAGCGTGGGGACAGACGGCCCCGCCCCAGACGAGTCAAAGGTGGGGCATCCCCACCCCAGCGGGGACTCCGCAGGAGCGTGTGGACCCCTCGATCCCAGGGACTGCCCCCTCCCCCCCAGGGACAGGCGCGGGCATCCCCATCCCGGAAGTGACCCGCACAACAGCAGCCCCTTCCCTCGAGCCCCCCAAAAGGAACAGGAGCCAAGGCCACACGGGGCACCCTCTCCCACCTCCTGGCCCCGCCCCAGGCCCGGGACTTGAGCACCCCACAAACTCCCGGCTTGGATCCTGGGGTGACACTGTGGACGAGTGGAGCGGGGTGGGGTGGAGGGCAGGAGGGGCCCCACGTACCAGCTCGCGCTCTGTGAGGGCATTGGGGTTGTCCAGGTACTTTTCCAGGGCCAGGCAGGCGGAGATGAGGTCAGGACTGAGCTCCATCCTGCCAGGGACAGACGAGGGGGCAGTTCATCTTGGGAGCACCCAACTCAGGCTCCTGGGTGCCCACCAGGGCCACGATTTTACATTGCACCCCAGGGGCTAGACACGGGGAATACACAGACCCTGAGACAAAGTGGACGCACGGCCCAAAGCTTATTCCAAGCGGCCAGTGGCAGATGGAAAATCTTTTCCCCAGAGCAGATTTTTCAGCAGGGAACAAAAAGAGACATAAACAGGATGGGCAGGTGGGGCAAATGTCCTAAAGAAGGTGAGTGGCTTAGGACAAACTTTGCCCACCCCCTAAATCCTAACCCCTACAGCCCAAATTGCCCTTATCAGGCCCTTTATCCAAGCTTCCAGACCTTCAGAGGCCCAGAAGGAGAAAGTGCTTGTTTGCTAATTCAGACTAAAGTGTGCATGACTGATAGAGGTTCCCTCAGAGGGCAGGAACGGTGGGAGCTGAGGCAGAGGTCACCCCCGAGCCCAGCCTGAATTCCTTCCACCCAGCAAACTGACGGAATCTCCTCCTCCGCGTTGGCTCCCGATGCCCCCTCGGCTGTGGGCATGTGCTGAGACTCCCGAGACAGCTGACACTCCTCCCGGCTGCTCTTGGCTCCCGCTGTCTCCTCGGGCCTCAGCTGGGGGGCTTCAGCCACACTCGGAACCCTCTCCTCGGGCTCTGGGGCCTCGTTCTCTGTGCTCTCATTGTCCGAGAAGTTCTCCGCCGTGCTGGAGTCCTCGGAGGAGGACTCATACCTGGGAGGGGAGCGGGTGGGGTAGGGGAGACGCTGCAGGTGGGCGGGGATGCAGTGGGGGAGGGGCGGGGGGCTCTGACTACTTGACTCCTCTGGGCCTCAGTTTCCCCTTCTGATAAATGGGGATAACAGGGCTGCAGGGATGTGGCTTACGGCATCTGGTATACCGTAAGTGCTCAATAAATGCCAGCTGTGACTGTGATCGCGCTTGGGGGGGGCGGCCAGGGACGGGGGACACGGCTTTCCCTTCTCACCCCTTGGTGCCTCCTATGCTTTGCTCGTGACACAGGTGTTCTGGATGCAGACCCGCGCCCCCCCGCAAAGAGGACCCTCATGCTTCTGGCGACCTCGGGACAGAGGCTTCTGGGCCTGGCATTCAAGGCCCCACCCTGACCATGGCTCACCATGCCTCCCGCTCCCATGCTGCACTGCGCCCTCCACTCTTCGCCTGCTCGCTCCTGCCTGTCCCCTCCTTCAGGGCCACCCCTGGGGGTGGCAGAACCTCCTGGAGGCCCCCACTGTCTGATTGTCCTCTGTCACTGCTCCTACCCCAGGGGGTTGGACCCGCATGTCTGTGCCTGGGCCTCCCTGTACCAGGCGCTCTAGCACCTCCTGAGGGGTCGTGTGGGGCAGTAGTTACCCCCGGGTTCACTCGCAACTAGCTGTGTGAGCTCCAGCGAGGCACCTGGCCTCTCTGTGCCTCAGTTTCCTCCTCTGTCAACTGCGCTTTGGTTACAGGAATGATCCGAGGGAGGGGTCCAGCCCAGGGTCCTGGGAGTGTCCTGGGCATGAGTGACCCACGGAACGGACAGGAGGGGGAAGCTGGGCGCAGGGCAGGGCATGCGGTGTCGGGGGGTCCTCTCACCCGCCGTTGACCCCCACGAACTGCAGGCTCCTGCGGTGCGCCGCGGGGTCTGCGGCCTCCTCTCTCCGCTTCATGATGGACCGCACACCTGCCTGGGGCCCGCCTGTGGGGATGGTGGTGTCGTGAGTGTCACCGAAGCCAGACCCTGTGCCCGGGCCTCCAGCGCCCTGTTCCTCCGGGCGGCCACCCTGCTTACCTGCGCCCTCGGCCCCCTCCGACACACACGAGGCCGCTTGCCTGGAGGGCTCCCTGGTGGTGGTGTCACGGGTGGGCGCCTGGCCTGAGTTCTTCTCGGGCTGTGCCAGGGAGGCGGCTGTGGACCCCGGGGGCGACAAGGACGGCTCTGCGGGGGCCTGTGGGAGCCCTGGAGGCGCAGGAAAGAGGCGCTCAGGGTGTGTGACAACAGCAAACAATGACAGTATTAGGAACCACCCCTGGGAGCCAGGAGCTCCGAGGGCTAATTCTCACATTAAATCTTCCCAGCCCCTGAGGAAGTGGGATTATTCCAGATGAGGAAACTGAGGCACAGGGGGCTGCCGAGGTCACCCGGCAAGCAAGCGCGTGGCAGAATCGGATTCCAACCTCGGTTTGTTGCCTGTCCCACAGCCGGTGAGGGACAAGGAGGGCCCTGTGACCCCACAATCCTGGCTTGTGACCCCCCTCCAACATCATACTGAGTGTTGTCTGGAAACTAGGTTTGATTACAGCCAAGGGTGGTGCTCATGGTAGGGACTCAGATCTGGCACGAGAGAGCTGTGTGACCTCAGGCAAGTCACTTAACCTCTCTGTGCCTCAGGCAGCTAACATTTACTTCTTCCTGGCAAGTTGTGCAGATTCAAGAAAGTAACTGGGGCATCGGGCGAGAACAAGGCCTGCGCATCAAGAGCTCCAGACACATTTGTTAATTCCAGAGAATTCTAAACTATATTTCAATAAGACAATATTACAACCTTTTTTTTTTTTTGTAAAACTGCACTTGTGTTGTGGATGTTATTTCATATCCAGCCTCATTTTTTTTCTTCTTTACTTAACATGAAGCAGGTGTTACTTTAAAATCAGGAAAAATAAACAATAAGGGCTTTTGGAAAATGGACATTCAGCCGCACCCCAGCAGAGTTTCAGTTTGGGAAGATAAAAGAGTGCTGGGGATGGATGGTGGGGTGGCTGCACAGCAATGGGAGTGCACTGAATGCCGCTGGACTGGACACTTAAAAATGGCTACAAGGGTAACTTTCATGATATATGTATTTTATCACAATTTAAAAAAAAACCCCACACACCCAGGTTGATCTGAGGACAAAGGCGACTGTGTGGGTCCCGGGCCCCGAGGGTACCCACTGCCCACCCAGGAGCGGGGCTGGCAGGGGGCTCCAGCCCCTGATCACCAGCCAGCAGCCCGAAACAAAAGTCGCGTGGCCACTTGGCGTGGCTGGCCGAGTTTCAGAACCCACTCGGGTCCCCCCAGGCCACGTGTGGCTTCCGTGTCACCACTTCCCCAGGACGTCCCCTTCCTGTCACTGGTCATGGGCTCTGCAGACTAATCTCATCTGACTGCCCTTCAACGGTTCAGACTGTTTTTGACAGACACGGGACCACTTCCTCAAGGCCGAGGGCCACACGCGGCTCCAGCGAGGAACAGAGAGTGTGTGCAGAGCGTGTGGAATGGACGGGACACTTGGCCATGAAGTCCCAGGCCGGTTCCAGCGCCATCCGTGGGGACCCATGAGCACACGCCGGCTTTTTATGGGAATCTCCTGATTTTTTTTTTTAAACCTTGTCAATAAATTCGCCCCAAAGCAATCAACCAATATACCCCTGTGTGGCCCAGTGGATGTGTCAGGAGGTGACAGGCCAGCTCGGAATCTCAGTGTCGCCCCAAACTCAGGGCTTTGGACATAAAAACCTGTCAGCATCAAGAAATTAGGTGGAGTAACATGACGCCGAGGGAAGGGAGGCGGTCACAGAAGGACACACTGTGCAATCCACTCACAGGAGGTCCCAGAGGAGTCACATCCACAGAGACGGGAAGGAGGAGGGTGGGGCCTGGGGCTGGGGGGGAGTCAGTGTTTCATGAGGACAGAGCTTCAGTTTGGGAAGGTGAGAAAGTTCTGGAGACAGGTGGTGGGGACGGCTGTGCAAACACGTGAATATGCTAAATGCCACGGAACTGGACATTTAAAAATGGTTAAGATGATCAATTTTATGTTATATGTATTTTAAAAATTATAATTACAAAAATAATTTAAAAAAAAAAAAAAGGAAGAGCAGCACAGGGACCATTCCGCCCCAAAGGGAAAGCAGGCCCGGCCTCCAAAGCTTGGAGGCTGTTTCCAGCGAGGAGGTCAAGGTCGGACACTGCGATGCTAAAATAACACCAACAATAATAAAACCGATAGCGTTTGTTATTGTTATTCCACTGGAGGACGGGGTGAACCGATACCAAAATTTGTACAGAAGAACTCAAGCCCATGAGCAGCTAAGACAGTTCTACAAAAAAGGGCAGAGATGGGGAGCCCAGCCTACGAGAGAAGACAACATATTCAGAAGCCACGACAAATGCAAACAGCGGGCATTGTTGCCAGAAGACATGGCCGAAGGAAGGAGGGAGAGAGCCCAGCACAGGCTACGGGGACCCCGGGGAGACAGGGTTTCCACAAGTCAGTGGGAAAAGGCGGGCTCTCTGGTGTGAGGTTGGGAAAAGCAGCTACTCTACCCAAGAAAACTCAAGTCGGACCCCTACCTCACACCTCACACCAAAAATAAGTGAGGGATCAATAGGAAGATACAACCGCGAAGCTACAGGAAGAAAAGAGAGCCGAATATGGGGGGCCTCAGGAAGGGGAAAGAGGCCTTTAAAAATTCCTCGAAGCACAAACCATATATGAAAAATACTGTATGATCTCGCTTACATGTGGAATCTGAAAAAACAGAACTCTAAGATTCAGAGAACAGGCTGGTGGTCGCCAGAGGTGGGAGGTGGGGAAACCGGTGAAGGGGGTCAAAGGGTACAGACTTCTAGCTATAACACAAAGTCCTGGGGACGTAACATCCAGCATGGGGACTACAGTTAATAATATTGCACTGTAGGGGGCTGGCCCCATGGCTGAGCGGTTAAGTTCGCACGCTCCACTCCAGTGGCCTGGGGTTCACAGGTTCGGATCCTGGGTGCAGACCTACACGTCACTCATCAGGCCATGCTGTGGCGGTGTCCCACACAGAAGAACTGGAAGGACTTACAACTAGGATATACAACTATGTACTGGGGCTTTGGGGAGAAAAAAAAAAAAGAGGAAGATTGGCAACAGATGTCAGCTCAGGGCCAATCTTCCTCACCAAAAAAATAATAACAGTGTACTGTCAGTTTGAGAGTTGCTAAGAGAGTAGATCTTGAAAGCTCTCATCCCAAGGAAAAGAACTTGTAACTTTGTGAGATGACGGATATTGACTAAACTCTTTGTGGCGATCATTTTGCAATATATACAATTATCAAATAATTTGTGCATCTTAAACAAATACAATGTTATATGTCACATATCTCCATAAAACTGGAAAAAATTAAAAATGAAAAGAAATGGAAAATACGATGGGTTTAACTATATCCAACATGAAGATTTCTGTTTGATTTTTTTTTTCTTTTAAGGAAGACTAGCCCTGAGCTAACATCTGCTGCCAATCCTCCTCTTTTTTGCTGAGGAAGACTGGCCCTGAGCTAACATCCATGCCCATCTTCCTCTACTTTATATGTAGGACACCTACCACAGCATGGCTTGCCAAGCGGTGCCATGTCCGCACCTGGGATCTGAACCGGTGAACCCCGGGCCACCGAAGCGGAATGCGCAAACTTAACTGCTGCGCCACTGGGCTGGCCTCTCTGTTTGATTTTTGAAAATTTCATAGACAAAGTTAATTGGTAGAATACAGACTGGGAGAAGACAGTCATGCGTCGCTTAACGACAGGGACCAGTTGCCAGCAGAGCGTCGTTAGGCGATGTCGTCGTTGTGTGACCCTCATGGCGTGCACACACACAGACCCAGACGGGCCAGCCGACTCCACGCCCAGGCCACACAGTACTAATCTCGTGGCACCACCTTCACATACGCGGTCCCTCGTTGGCAGAAACATCGTTCCGTGGCACATGGCTGTATTTCCAACACCAAGCATGAGTAAAGGATTGATTATCTTCTAGAACAGGAGTCACAAACTTTTTCTGTAAAGGGCCAGATAGTAAATATTTCTGGCTCCGTGGGCCCAAAGGTCTCAGTCGCCAAGAGTGGAAAAGCAGCCGTCAGCGGTATGTAAATGAAGGGGCGTGGCTGCGCCCTAAGAAGTTTGAATTTCATATAATTTTGCTCATGTCACACAATGTTATTCTTCTTTTCATATCGTTCAACCACTTAAAAACACAAAAAACATTCTTAGCTTGTGGGCTGTATAAAAATTGGCAGCGGGCTGGCTGTGGCTATTCTAGAATGTGCCAGAAACTTCTGCCCAAAGAAAAATGGACGAAGGCTACGAATAAGGGACCCAGAAAGGGATCTTATTAAATACATATGAGGATGAACCTCACCAGAAATCAAAGAATGTAAATTAAAACAACAAGGAGACACCACTTTGCCCCAGTGTCAGATGGACACAAAATCAGAAGGATACATAAGCTATATGTCGGGGGGGGGTGGGGTGGGGAAATGGACACCTCGGACCCAAGTGTGGCTGGTGGGAGTGTGGACACGGGGAACTTTTCTGGAGAGGATCAGTCAAAATTTGGAGCAAAGTTGTGCATTCCCTGTGAGCCAGTAGTCCCTCAGAAGGGGACACAGGAGGGTGGCTCCAGCACAGTTCACAGCCACCAGGAGCTGGAAGTAACCCAGGTGCCCACCAAGGGGGGATCAGATGAGAAAAGGGCAGCGCATACCTAGGGCAGAAATCTACACGGTCATTAAAAGTGACAAACCAGATTTATGAACGTCAGGGTGAGAAGTTCAAAAATAGTGTGTAGAGAGGAAAAAATACGGAACAGAAGGAGATTTTTTTTTCTTTCTAAAGCACAATACCATTTTAGGAAATTAAACACACACCAGGCATATTTTTCAAGGACACTCAAATATCTAAAGAAGCTTCTGGAAGGTGGATTGCAAGGAATGATATTAAATGAGATGGGAGGGTGTGAATGGCATAGAGCAGAGGCTGGCAAACGACAGCCCGTGGGCACAGTTGTTATGTTTTTAAATGGTTGGGGAAAAAAATTAAAGGGAGGATTCCGTTTGAGACACATGAAAATCACATGAATTTGAAATCCCAGCGTGGACACAAAGTCTTATTGGCACACAGACACGTTCATTCATTTATATATCGTTTATGTCTGCTTTCAGGCTATAAAGGCAGAACTGAGCCACCGAACTCATCAAAAGATATACGTTAAAAATGTGCAATTTTTGTGCGTTAGGTATATCCCAATAAAGCTGGAAAGAACAAACCTGAGCGGAATGGAGTCATTGCAACAAAATCGTCCAGCTTGCAAACCTAAAATATTTACCGGCCCTCAGCACTGAAGGTGAAGACCTTCATGCACAGATCAGTGAAGAATTAGATTAACTCAGGTTTGGGCTCCTTAAGTCCAAAAGAAGTTTCAAAAAATTCCAATCACTGGGCTGGCCCAGTGGCACAGCGGTTAAGTGTGCATGTTCCGTTTCGGGGGCCCGGGGTTCACTGGTTCGGATCCTGGGTGCGGACATGGCATCGCTTGGCACACTATGCTGGGGTAGGCATCCCACATACAAAGTAGAGGAAGATGGGCATGGATGTTAGCTCAGGGCCAGTCTTCCTCAGCAAAAACAGGAGGATTGGCAGCAGATGTTAGCTCAGGGCTAATCTTCCTCAAAAAAAAAAAAAATTCCATCACTCAGCCACCCACTGCGGGGAGGGAGTCGAGCCCACAGGGCGACTGCAAAGCCATTTGGTGACAGACATCACCATCCTACAAAAAATACCCTTCCAGAAACCTGTCCTGAGAAAACAGACCGGAGGACACGAGGGACTCCCGAGGAAGGATGCCTGCGTGGCACCTCGGACAGTCAGGAGTGACATGGCGGTTAAAAGGCAAACAGCACGTCCCAAGAGCTTTTAAGAACATCAAGAAATGCCGCTGGGATGTTGTGAAAGCCAAGAAATCAAAGAGTTTAAGTCCCGGCTTCGGAAACCAGGAGCGAACCCCTTAACCTCCCCGTGCCTCAGTTTCCTCATTTGTAAAATGGGCATAGAAACACCCCCCACCTCACAGGAATTTAAATGAACTAAACTATGAAAGGGGCGCCAAATAACGCCCTGGCCCAGAGCAAGAGCTGCTGAAATCCTTTTAAAACTAAAACAAAGCCCAAGAACAAATTCCTGCAGCTCTGTGTCGCGGGCCTTGGAAACTACACGTGATGCGTTTCAACATTTCAGAAGGAAAGAAGCACAAGTGTGGACGGCAGCTGCGTGCGGGCGGTGCTGGGCTCTAGGGCAGGTTATCTGTTGTTCTAGATCCTTCCACCTCCCCAAACCTTCCACGAAGAATATCAATTGCGCTCACAGGAATATGCCTCGAGCAAGAGCAGAGGGAATGTCAAAGGCCTGGAGGAATCGTACGGATGCACGCGCCCAGCCGCCCCGCGCCCATTCATCTTTCTGCGGTGCCTTGGCCAGGTGGGGTACGGGCCTTGGTGGGGTCTCTGGTCCTCTAGTGGCCCCACCCAACTTTGGCAGCCGGAACAGAAGGCTTTGGCTGCAGTGAGAGAATTCTAGATGGCAGAGAAGTTGGGTTCCTCCTTGCCGCCTCCTCCAGGGAGGCCTCCCTGACCCACACATGGAGCTGACCCAGCTGAGGGAACACATGGTCCCAACACTTGTCAAGTCCTCATATCATCCATTTCCTTTCCCATATGACTCCTCCCCAGTCTACAAGCCTGGCGGGACCCACTCCTAATGCCCAGCCTCCCTAGACCTCGCTTGTCCGGCCTCATGCTTTTCCAGATTGTTCCACACCTTGGATGCACCAAGCCCCTCCTCACCCCAGGGCCTTTGCTCCTGCTGTGCCCCCCTCTGGGAGGCACAGTCTCCTTCCCACCTCTTGGCCACCTGGCTGCTTGCTTCCCGTCACATCTTGGCCAGAGAGCCAAGAGCTAACCGCTGGGTACCCACTGCATGGCTGGTGCCACGTGGAACCCTTGACATGACCTGACGCATTGAAGCCTCATGTGAATCTGGTGACATCCAGCTGTCGGGACCCCCGGTTTGCAAACGAGGCACATAGAGGTTAACTAACTTGCTCAAGGACACACAGCCAGAGAGCAGGGAACCAGAATTTTAACCCAAGCCCCGACCCCATCCAATCACCAACCACCCCATGCCCTTGTTTGTCACCAACGCGTATTCTCTGAAAGGCCATTTCTTCACTTATTTATTGCAGGGATTTTGTCTGCCTCATTCACCGCTCTGCCCCCAGGGCCTAGAAGAGTCTGGCAAATAGCAGGCACTTGACAAACCTCCGTGGAACGAGAAGGTGCTGGAATGAAGGCACACACTCCAGTTCTGCTCAAGCAGGCAGAGACGGGGTCGGCCACAGCGTGCAGGAGGTAAGCGAGAGACGAGGAAGAACTTTCAGCGGCAGCGGCTTGCAAAGGTGGGGACATGGCTACGGCCGTGCATCCCGCAGGCAGGAGGCCCCTGGCCGCCCCGGGAGGCACATCTGGAATGGAGGCTGCTGGGCGGGGCGCCTGGCTGGGGGCCAGAGTCCCAGGGCGGGGTGTTTGGATGGACACGGAGCGGAGGGGCGGTGTCCGCAGCTGTCCAGGAACATGGGGAAGCAAAAACACAGCTGGGCCCGCCCTCCAGCTTGTGCCCTCTGGTCCCTCTGGGGGGCTCCTGGCACCTAACATTCGAGGCTGGATGAAGCCTCCTGCAGCTCAGGCTGACCCGGGTCCAGATCCCAGCTCAGCCCCCTCCTGGCTGTGTGACTTCTCCCTGAGCCTCAGTTTCCCCGGCTATCAACAGAGTTGACCCGAAAATTATCAGCAGGAGCAGCAACGGGCACTGATGGAGCGCTTACTGCGAGCGCTAAGTCACAAGAGTCCTAGACGTGGGGCTATTATTATGTCACTTCACAGATACAAAGCTGCAGCCCAGAGAGGTGAAGTCACTCACCCAGGGTAACACAGCAAGAAGTGGACTTTGAACCCAGGTCGCCTGGCTGCACAGCCCACCCCCTCGAGGTCCTCTGTGGGTGAAACACTTGGCATAGCTCCCAGTACCAGGCTGGTGTTCGATAAAGTACAGCTGTCATCATTATTATGAATCATTCTGGCAGCTTCTCCAGGGGCATCAGGCGGTCGTGGTGGGGCAGCTGCCATTCTGTACACTCCACATCCCCTTTCCTGGCATGAGGACTCAGCACTTCCTCTAGGGAGCACCCCTTCCTCCCCAGGACTTGGCCACAGGACTTGGTGGGGCTCCTCTGCCCCCAGGATGCTGGGCTAGGCAGTGGGGGACACAGTGATTGGCTCAGCGATGGCCACACCAGCCAATGAGGGCCACCTCTCAGATTTTTACTGGTGCTATTTAGACTGAGGGGCTCTCTTTCTACTGAGCTTCAAAAACAGATGCCTGGAGTAGTGGGGCCACCTTTGCCTGCCTGAGGGAGAAGCCTCCAGGGTGCAGAGAAGGAGAAAGAGAGAGTTAAAGAGTCCCGATATTCGAGCACCTGGATCTAGCTATGCCTGAAGCTGTTGCTAAGTTACAGAAACAATACATTTCCTTTTCACTGCTTAAACTGGTCTGAGATTGTTCCTGCCACTTAGTTAATAAACAGCGAGGGGTTTTTGCCCAGCAATCCAACAGCCTTGAGACCCCTCCCCCAAAAACCTTCTGTTTTCTGGCCACCCACAATGCGCTAGACATGAGGAGACACACTTAGACATCCAATTTCTCCATATGGTCCCTACAGCATTGAGATGGCGGCATGCAGAGAAAGAGACAGAGGCTCTGAGGGCCCGAGTGGTCGGCCTGGTGGAAGGCCAGGGCCGGGGCTGGACCCTGGCGTTCAGAGGAAGGAGGAGGGACCCTCCGCGTCCTCCCCTGCCCGCTGGGGCTCACCTGCCGGCCCACTGCGCTCCGTGATGCTGATCTTCTTCACCACGTGGACGTTGCCGGGGGCCGCAGCGGGCGCTGGGAACGTGGTCTCCACCACCTCGTGGCTACGGAACACGGGGGGACTCTCGGCCCCTCCAGGCGTCGCCAGGGCCCGCAGCCCTGCCCCGTAGGGCTCCAGACTCTGGGCCCGCTGCGCGGGGGCCCCGGCGGCCGTGCTGGCCGCCACCTCCACCTCCCGTGGCCCCTCCACCACCCGGACGGTGTCCACGCGCACGGGGCTGTCCGGCGGTGGCCAGGCCTGGGGCGGGGGTTCGGCCTGCCGGGCCTGCGCGGCCTGCAGCTCCTGGAGCGCCTTCTTGAGCTGGGTCTCCAGCACGGCGACCTTGGCGGCGAGGGCCGCCTCCCCGTCGGGCATGCCCAAGTCCCGTTCGCGGACCCAGGTGCCCACGCTCCGCATCTCCAGCGCCCCTGGGTCCTCGGGGGCCTCGGGGAGGTCCAGGCAGAGCTCTCCGCGGCCCCGGGCCCCCGCGGGGTGGCCCAGGAACTTCTGGCTCTTGAGCTGCACGGTGAGCTGTCGCTTCTCCTCCTGCAGCACCGACAGCTTCACCTGGAGCACGGGGATCAGCTTCACCTGCTCCTCCAGCTGCCGCAGCTTGCGCAGCGCGCCTGCCATCTGCTCACGCACGTGCGCCAGGTGCCCGGCGCTGGGGGGCACCGGCGTGGACAGTCCCGAGCTCCGCGGCGTCGGCGGGGGAAGCCCCACGCCCACCAGCGAGCTCGTCGAGCCGGCCGCGCTGGGCGTCAGGGAGCCGAGGCCGGGGGGCGCGGCCGCCTGGTCCTCGAGGCGGCGCCGCGCATCCAGCAGCGTGCGCTCCACGCGCGGGTTGAAGCCGGCGCGCGTCTCCAGGGCGCCGTACTGCGGGTAGAAGCCGCGGCCGCAGTAGGAGTAGGCCGAGTGGCGGCTGTCCCCGCTGGCGTTGGAGCACAGGGACTCGGTGGACGTCCACCAGGAGCCAGGGCCGCGGGGCAGCGAGCCGAGGCGGGGCCGGCGCTGCACGGCCACCCGGCGCAGCGTGTGGCCCTTCTCGATGTCATCCACGTACTTGAGAAAGTCCAGGTCCAGGCGGTAGCCGTAAGGCGTCTCCACCGAGTAGGGGGGGTGGTCGGGCTCCTTGGGAGGGAAGGCGGGCGGGGAGGCTGGGCCGGGGGTCCCTGGGGTGGGGGGAAATGCGGGGCCTCTGAACGCTGCTGTCCCCTCCTGGGGCCAAGAGGGATGCCCTGGGAGACTCCAGGTTAATGAGCCCACTGGGCGCTCAGGCACTCAGCTGTGTCCCCCACCCAGGGCAAGGCCCTGTCACCCCCTCAGAACCCCCGAGGGCAGGGCTGTGCCTACCCTCCCAGCGCCCCCAGATAGGGCCCTGTCTCCCCGCTCAGCTCTACCCCTTTCCCTGAAAGACTGTCTCCCGGATCAGACCCCCCAGGGCAGAGCCAGGTGGTCCCCATTTAGGCCCTCAGCACAGGTGTCCCATCCTCAGGTAGGGCCGGAGCCCTCCCCAACTCCCCAGACCCCAGGGCAGAGCCCTCTCCCCTCCCCCAGGCCACACAGAGCAGGGCTGTGTCCCTCCTCCGGCCTCCAGGACAGAGCCATGTCCCCCCCCACCCCTAACTGCACGCAGGGCCCTCATCCCCACCAGACTGCTGACCTGGGAAGGGGGCTGGCACGTGCAGGACCTGAGCCATCCTCCGGGGTGCAGCCACTCCTCAAGAGTCACCTTGGGGACTGAGTCAGACTGCCTGCAGCACGGGCTGCAGCTTACCTGGGGAGAGGGGCAACAAGCGGGGAGTCAGAAGGAGTCTGCAGGGGGATGGGAGGGGACGTGGCCACCCCCTCCCCAGCTGTCCCCCTCCCGAACCCCTCCCGCCCCGAGTCCCGGACCCTCGCAGAGGCACACCCCCAGCCTGACTGTGGAAAGGGATGGGGGGGCCCCGCGGCCTGGAACAAAGAAACCCAACCTCAGGGCCCGCCTGCACATCTGTCCAGCCCCTGGACAGGCTCCAGCTGTTCCCACAGCCCCGCCTCCACAAGGCCCTGGGCCGGGGGGCCCCAAGCCTGACAGGCCCCACCCTTCCTGGACCCCCTCCGCTCAGCCCCAGCCATGAGCGGGCTCCGAGGACAGATGGGGGCTGAGGTGGGCAGGGGGCTGGGTCCTAATGGGGGGGGGACAGAGACGACAGAGACCCAGGGTCACAAAGAGAGATAGAGCTCAGGGTAGGGGACCCCAAAACAGAGCCGGGGCAGGCCAGGCAGGGGGGGGGGGGGTAGGGAAAGTTGGGGGGAGGCAGGGAGGAGCAAAGCCTTTTCCCCTTTATGGAAACAATTTTCTCTAAAAATAAACAGTTTCGCTGCTGGGCTGCACGAGAACTTCCTGCCCCCCCAGGACGCGTCCGGCTCAGGGGCACAGCAGAGATAGAAGGCAGGCGGTGGCCCGGGAAGTCGTGGGGGTGGGGGAGGAAGTAAGAGGGGGCGCCTGGGGGCTGCAAAGGGGAGGGGCAATCAGGGCCTCTCACTACGCCCCCCACCCCAGCCCTGGAGTCGGGCCAGAACTTTGTCCCCAGCACTCTGCCTGAGCTGCGCCAGTCCTTTCTGCTGTCTGACCTTGAGACACCCTGCTGCAGAGGCCCCAGCCCATCCCACCATGGGAGGACCCCTTCCAGACTGCCGGTGCAGGGCAGCGGGTACCTGGGAGGATGGGCCAGGCGGGCCACCTGCTGGGCATGAAGGCGGGGCGGGGGCTCCAGGGGCAGCCGGGCTGTCCTCGTCTCTCACTCTGTCCTCGTGTTTCCCGCTCAATCTCTCTCCACGTCTCTCTGCGTCTCTCCACGTCTCTGTCTCTGCACCTCTCTCCACGTCTCTCTCCCCGTCCCTCCACGACTCTGTCCTCACTTCTCTGTCTTTCAACGCCTGGAACACACGGTCCCCGATGATCGGGATTTTGGTTTCCCACCTGCTTGGAGGCTCACTCCTCCACAACGGAGACGTGATAAAAAATATTCACGGGGGACCTGAGAGAGACTGGAGGCAGGGAGCAGGACTGGAACAGCCTGTGGGGGCCCCTGGAGGGACACGGGTGGGGCGAATGACAGTAACGACTATAATAATCACCAGGACAACCCCACCAGGCGGCGAGCTACCACCCTGTTTTACAGATGGGGATCTGGAGGCACAGAAATGCGCGCTGACTTCCCGGGGTCCCTGGAGGAGGAGGTGGCTGGGCCTGGATTTGAACGTAAGCCCCGCAGGCGGGAGAATCTGCCGGCCCAGCCACCCCCACCCCCACGGCACAACCCTCTGCCCATTTCCCAGACAGAAAGACTGAGGTCTGAGGGTCTCCAGCCGTCGGAGCGCCCTCCGGGTGGGCAGGTGGACTCCAGGTGGAGAAAGCAGATTGAGCCGGGGAGGGGAGTGTGCGGGGGGATGTCTGCGGCTGAGGCCCCTGTCCCTCTAGGGGACCTCTGGGGGACGGGGAGGGGGCCACAGGACAGAGAGAGATGGAGAGAAAGGGAGCCAGGACACTCCAAGAGGGGACAGGCGGAAGGCTCGCGGGGTCAGGGCGGGACACGAATGTCCGACGGGGTCTCCCTAAACCCCCCCTCCCAGACCTGCCTGGACGTGTCTGGGGTCTTCCCGCCCCAAAGACGGGGACGAGGAGGACGACCCGCCCCGTGCAGGGAGGGGGCGGGGCCTGCGGGGGGGGGGGGTCCCCGGCTAATGGCAAACAGCTGCGGCTCCCCACGCCGGCCCAGCCGCCAGGCCGAGGCCCAGCCCTGCCGGCCGCCCGGCCGCCTTCCCGCCCGCTGGGGCCTGGCGCGGCCCGGCCGCGGAGGAGGGCGCGGGGGGACAGCGCGGGGGACAGCAGGGGGGAGGCCGGAGCGGGGGGAGCGGGGAGGCAGCGCTGGGGCAGAGGGGCAGGGCAGAGGCGCGGAGGGCGGGGTGGGGGAGAGAAGCGGGGACGGGGTCCGAACAGGGGAGGGGACAGAGCCGCGGGCACCGCGACACCCGAAGTCGGGGAGGTCTGGGCACAGACGGTGGCGTTGGAGGCTCGGAGATGCCGGCGAGGTGGCGCCTCGAACTGGGGGAGGGGGGTGGGGACCACGCTCGAACCCCGATCCGGACTCGAACCTCGAACCCCTAACCAGCCCCGGGTCCTACTCGCCTCGCGCGCTCCGGCCGCCGCCGTCCCCGCGTCCCGCCGCCCGGGCGTCCTCCGCGCGCCGCCGCCCGGCTGCCGGGCCGTCGGCGCTCGCCCCGCCCCCAAGGCCCCGCCCCGCGAAGGCCACGCCCCTACACGGCCACGCCCCTCGGCAGCCCGCGGTCCGGCCGCGCAGCGGGAGGCGAGAGTTTCGCGGTTGCACCTGGGCGGCAGGTGCGCGCGCGCGTGGGGCTGTCCGGCCCCGTCCCAGTGCCCCGGTCCCCGGGGCGGGGTCTCCCCCGCTGTCCTCCTCAGCCCGGTGCAGCCGGGCCGCCGCGGGGGGGCGGGCGGGGGCGGGGCTGGCCAGGGCCCAGCTCCGGGAGGGCGCGGAGGGCGGGCGCGGCGGCGGCGAGAGGTCACCCTCCCCCTGCCGGCCCATGGCTGGAAGCGGCCCAGCGCAGGCCGGGTCCACGGTGGCGTGCCCGCCGCGGGGCGGGGCGGGGCGGGGCGGGGGCTGGGCCAGCGCCAGGCTGCACAGGCGGTGCTCAGGCCTGGGCTCCAGTCGCAGTCCCACCAAGCCTTTAACTGCTCGGTGCCTCAGTTTCCCCATCTCTAACATGGCGTTGAGAGTGGTGTTGACAAGATTGACTCACGGGGAGGCAGGGGCCTAATGGAGGTCCCTGGGGCAGGAAGGCCATCAATGGGGTGGTGTCTTTCCGGGAGCCATTCAGTACAGCCAGGGTTTTAATAAATGTTACTATTATTCCCCATGCCAGCATGTGACACTGTCATTTGTGTTGCCTTCCCCCCTAGAATGTCAGCCCCACAGGGCAGGAATTTGTGACTGTGGTCACTGCTGTGTCTCTGACACCCAATCGGTTCTCAGTGTCTGTCCCCCGATGATCAGGGTGTGTGGGCAGACTGTGCCCATGTGACCCAGCCCCCAGGGACCACACCACACAGGCTGCTTATAAAAACCATTTTAAATTAAAAAAGGAAAGAGGGATCAGTGCGCACAGACGGAAACAGACAGACCGAGGGCCCAGCCCTGTGTGCAATGTGGCCACCCCGCAACTGCATGGGCAGTGGCGGGGAGCTCCCAGGAAGGCCAGGGTGCTGGTTCTTCTGGGTGTGGCTTCAGGCCCCGTGGGCTCAGACGTCGGCCTTCCGGAAGCTTGCCCTGTGCAAGGAGTTCCTGGGGGATGAATGAGGTGGGTCAACATGGCCATAGGGCCCCCAACTCCACAATCCTCCCCAGCTCTCTTCCTCCTCCAGATCCTTCTAGGCTCTTCCCTATTCCTTTCATATCCCTTCTGATGCAGCTGTGGATTCAGATTCTCTCTTGGAATCCACCACCAAAGATATGCATTGGGCCCATTTTACAAACGTGGAGACTGAGGCTCAGAAACATGATCTGGAAACTGATCCACCAGGACCCAAAGGGGCTGCCCAGAGCCTGCCTGTGCATCTGCATCCACATAGACACTCGCTTGTGCAAAGCTGCGAGTGCACGTGTTGATGTGTACGTGGACAACAGCCCCACCATGGGCCTGTCTTGGCCTGGCTCCTCTTGCCTTCTCTAGGGTGGGGGGCCGAGCAGGCACCTGAGGCTGGCCGTAGTGGGCGCCAGCAGCTGGGGCAGGCGCTGGGTGAGCAGTGGCTGCAGAGCCTCCCGCAGGCGGGTGTAGTTGCGTTCCAGCTCGCGGTGGTACTCCTTCTGGTCTGGCCCAATCAGGGCCTTGTTCTTCCGCAGGGCATCCTCACACCTGGGGGCCAGATGGCAGGAGAGGCTCAGGGGCTGACACTCAGGGGGGAAGGCAAGAGGGAAGGTGGGGGAGGCCCTGGGAAGAGCTAGAATGGGGGGTCTGATGGGTAGAGCCACCTTAGTGGGCATCAGGGAGGGAGGAGACCCCCTAAGGGGGATGTGTACAGAGGGGCTGCCATAGGGGGTCAAGCTGATAGACAGGCTGTGCTGGGGGTCAGGGAGGCAGAACGCCATCGGTGGGGCTGGGAGGGGGTGTCATGGGGGCCAGGCCTACTTCTTGCAGAAGTCCTTGAAACACAGCCGCAACTTATTGTGATGCCTGAAGAGCTTGGGGTCTTCAGGGATCTCTGTCAAAAACACCTGGGCCACCTCCAGGGGACCCTGCAGGGTGAGAGGGGCTCGTGAGGGTGTCTGCACGGCCCCCGGGGGAACCCCGGGCAGCCTGCCTTGCCCCTCGGGCCCTGCCTGGTTCACAGTGGGCCCCACGGAGCCTTGGAGCACCATCTGTAGCATCTTGGCGTCGGGCGGGTCCTGCTCGGTGGCGAAGGCCAGCTCTCGAGTCTTCTTCTGCATGTCCTCAATGGCCACCTCCACGGGGGTCAGCACTGTCTGCGGGGCGGGGCAGGTGGCACGCACTGGCTGGGGCCCGAAGATGTCCTGACCCAAGCCAGCGCAGCCTGGACGCCCGCTGGGGGAGGGAGAGGGGTCCGTGGGGCCGTGTAATGACCAGGATGTGGGGGCTCCTGGCTCAGCTGCCTTTGTCTGGCTCTGGGGGGCTTTGGTGCGGTTGTGGTCCAGCCCGGGGTCAGCCTGGTCTGGAGGCAGAGCTTCGAGTCTGCAGACTAGGGTCTGGAGGGTGGACTGGGTGGTCGCCTCCCCATCCCGGGTGTGGGGTCCCTGGGCCTCCCTCCGTGGGAATGAGGTCCCCCCCACCTCCTCGCGGTGGCACACACGGATGCGCGTCTTGATGTAGGGGAAGGCGTGGTCCGTGCTGAGCAGCGTCTTGCGCTTGTGCTGCTCCGGGAGCTCGCCGTGCGCGCGCCCGTCGGGCGTGAAGGGCGTGCAGAAGAGGAAGGTGCGCAGACCGTAGTTGCGGTCGAAGTAGGTCACTCGGTCCTTGAGCTCGTAGGTATCAAAGTGCGGTTCCACGTAGGTGATCTGGATGTAAGCCTGCGACACGGCTCAGGGGTCAGCCCTCACAGCCCAGGGCGCGCTGGCCTCCCCGTGGGGCCCCGGCCCTGGGGAGAGGGGCTTTGGAGCTCCCCGGGTCTGGGGTTCCCGGGTCTCCGTATGTCTGGATGCCTGGAAATCCCCTGAGGAAGAGGATTTGGGGTCCCCCAGGGAGGATGGCCGGGAGCCCTCACCTTCTGGGGGTCGAGCTTGGCCTTGTCCACGGGGTTCGAATCTTTGACAATCTCAACCACGTCCTCCCCGAACCTCTCCGTGTAGAACTCCTGTGGACACAGGGCGGGTTCAGGGTCGCACAGGGGCAGCCCCCGCGGCATCCCAGGGCGGCCCGGCCGGCCACCCCCCCACCGCCCGGCCGTGCCTCCAGCCGGTGTGAGATCTCGGCCAGCTTCGTGATGGACGGCTCCTTGTACACGAACTCCTGCTCGTCCAGGTCGCCGAAGCGAGACCCGTAGAAGCCCACGCGGAAGTACGTCCCGAAGACGCGCTGGGGCTGCGGGGAGGGACGTGGTTGCCCGGGGGGGCCCCGCTGGAGGTCCCCCTGCCCCGGAGACAAGTGTCCTCGGGCCCCATGTGTGGAAGACTGGGCATGGGCGGGGGGACCCCAAGAACGTCACATCACAGGCACAGGCAGGGGACCTGAGACTGTCGGGGCATGGACCCAGGTGACCGCCAGCTGCCCGCCCCCTCGCTCCCTCTCCCCAGCCTGTCTCCCACCTGCCCCAAATCTTTG